TGCTACATGGCCAGCGGAAAAGGGCGGACACCACCAGTGACAGACCTGGGAGACAAATGACTAGAAGTGCTACATGGCCAACGGAAAAGGGCGGCCAGCAGCGACGGACCTGGGAGACAAATGCATAGAAATGCTACATGGCCAGCGGAAAAGGGTGGACACCAGCAGTGACACAAAGGGCGGACACATCTTTAGAAAGAATTGAGAACCCCTAACAGTAAACTGCTTGGGGAATAATGAAACTCCTTTGGCAAGCCCAGGCATTTGGTGCCACTCATTCTGCCTCGGACCCAGGCAAGGCGGACCCGATATGTTCCAACCCCTAAAAAAGTTGGATTGGCGCGCAGTGTATGGTCCAGTGGTGGTGTTGGACGTGTTTGAATTGTTTTGGACGATGTCCAGTGATTTCACACTCGTTGATGGATTTGCTGCTTGAATAGTTTGTGGGAACTGAACAAGCTTTGATAGTGTTAGGCCTGCTAGGCTGTCCATTGGACTGCCAGGCCAAAGATGAATGAGCGGGCCAAAGTGTCGACCTTACCTCTGGTATGCTCATTCGATACCTACCGTTTCCCGGTTCTCAGCCTGCAAAGTTGGCCAACGGGAAACATCGGGAAACTGTGAGAGAGTATATATTATATGCACAACGATGCTGTGTAGATGTCCGTGAATGCCAAGATAGAAGGTGAATGAAGATGATTTGTTGCTGTTGGATTTATAAAGTTTCTTGTCCTCAGCAACACAGAGCTGAGATATAACGGTTCCTGTAGCATCCTGAGGCTGCGTTTGGCTCACTGAGCCTTCCAGATTTGTACATAGTCGAAACGACCAGATTGCAGTCTCAGCATGTCCAGCCGTTCGGGAAAAGGTGCCTTTCTTTGAAAATGCGTTCGAAGATTCTGAGGCGGTGAACTGCCTACAAACGTATCTTCGCTGCCTTCCAAGTCGAAAGCAATCTCTCAAGATGATTCACAGAGGATTCCAATCTTTCTTGACAAGGTCAGCTCCAATTTGGGGCTCCTGGCCTTACTACTAGGAGCAAGGACGCTACTAGGGGCTCCTGGCATCGCTACTAGGAACAAGAACGCTACTAGGGGCTCCTAGGCTTACTACTAAGGTCACTGAGTTGACCAATAGCCACAGGGGCTCGGCGTCGGCAACCGCTCCTCGCGCAGATGAGCTTGGGGATCGCCGCTTAGCGCTGCAGAGTCTGGCAGGTGGCCGCAACGTGGTCAACAGACCCATATGGAGGGCATGGAGGGCATGATGGACTGAGACTGTCTTTTTCCAGTCAATTCACTCAGTTGGTCAGGCAATTGGGAAAAGTGTGCATGCTTTTTGGCAGTTGTTTTGTGACTCGTTGACGCATAGATCAACAGAGATCGCCACAGGACTGTTTCTGCCTACTTCCATGCACCTCTTACTAGGGTTGGGCCACTCCCGGCATCGAGACAGCCAGGTTTGTACCTCCATCCAGAGTCCATCGTCCCTCAAGGGATTGAGCTTTTGCCCATGCGGGGCTTCAAGCTGGAGGCCTCGATTGACTGGCAAAAAAGAAGGGCCTCTGGAATATCATATTCATTCCCCAAACAGTTTACTGTTGAGGTTCTATCATAGCAAAAAAGGCTTTGGCCGCCTGGCCACAGTTTCTGGCCGCGCCCCTGAACCCTGTGTCCTTGGTTGGGAACGTTGTGTTCGTCCTTTGTCCTCCTCGTGTCCTGTTTTCTTCTCCACCTTGTAGACCTTGTCCGGGTTTGCTTGTCCTTCTTGTTTGTGTTGTGGGCCCGTTATTTTCACCGCCTTGTCCGAGCCTTGTCCCGCTTTCCCTTTCTCCACCGCCTCGTCCGGGTATGTTTTCGTGTGGCTATGAATGCAACAGTGATACAGCGCTTCGATTTTGGTATCCTCCTTGGATTTCTCATGGCGTAAACTACCCCGTGTTTGTACATGTAACCCGTGAATCAGGAACTATTGCTTTCAAGTGCTTTCACACATGTTTGCCTACATGCCGTTCCCAAACAACTGGAGGCTGCGGGGATTATATAATCACCCACATTACCACCAACAGTGGAATTCAAGGAGTTGGCGCAAAAAATGAAACTGTTTGGGGTCTATGCTGGCATCATATTATACAATATGCAAGACTGCAAATTCTGTCAAGTTCTGTCAAACCAGGACATCGTGGGATCACCACCACTGATGTGGTGGTCACACACAGGGATTGGAGATTGTCACTTCCAGAAGCCCCGTTCATGTCCAGTCATGTTGAGTTCACATTGCCCCACTATTACAGGTCCTTCAACACAAGTGTTGGTCCTTGGTTCTGTCGGACGCACTCCCTGCATATATTTGCATATTGTATGCTATAAACGCATACCTTGCATGCTATGTCATGTATGTTATTATATGTGTAGGTCCTCCCTCTTGCTCTTGATGCCATGGTCAGTATTTTGACCTGGACGTGGCACAAGGCAGGATTCCATACAGGCATGCGCAACATCGCAGGCTGGGCCTACGATGTTCCAAGCATTGTGGTACGAAATAGCAACGATTGGACCAGTGTAGTCCCCGAAGTGGAAGGACGCCACCTTTGAGCCTGATGCCTTGAGGGCGCTAAAGCCAGGTGGGAAGGGGCTGCGACTGTTTCGATTCGATGGATGGTCCCACAGAAGACAACGAAGTGTTCCCACAGGGACAAAAGAGTGCTTTGATGACAGTTTCCCAAGAGAAGCCGAAAGAAATGGTTTCAGCGGCAGAATGATGGTTTTTCCTGTCTTCCGGTCTCTTGATGAGCTCCAAGATATATAGCAAAATCAATCGACTTATGGATTCAGCAACTGTCGGGTCCCTTGCACGTGTTTTCAGATGATTTGGTGGGTATGTTATTCGGATCTATTGGATAGTTCGTTGCCCCCAAACAGTTTAAACAACTGTCCAAGACCTAGTAGCTAGAAGCTACTAGGTGGAGGCCATCGCTATTAGATTGGAGGCCATTACTACTAGTAACAGTGAAGAAGCTACTAGTAGCAATGGGTGTTTCTCATCCCCCACAAGACGTCTTTCGCTCACCCATGTTTGCCGCTTCCTCGCCACTTCTTGGGCCAAGGGGAGCCGAGGCAAGCGAGTTTTGTCCCAAATGACACCGGCAAAAAAAGCTGAGCAAAGGCACAGAATCAACAAGAAACTCAGAGTTTGTAAAGATTAGAGCAAAAGCAACCACATGTCAATGGAATCCAATCCATCTTGACAAATCGTGTCAGATTGTAACAAAGGGTTTAGCCTTTCCTTCGCCCGGCGGCTTGGCTTCGCCGCCTTGAAAAGTTTTGAGACACAGTCACATGGCTGCACGTTAGGGTGGCCTCATGTGTTGCCCAAGTGTCATGTACATCCTAACCAGCCTTCAAGTGCTGCAGCCTGGAGTCGATGTTGTGTCAATGCAGAATTATAATCTCACTAATATATATATATATATATATTATATTATATAAATATATATTTTATATGTGTATATATGCAAGCAAAATTGACTTTCGGCATGAATGTAGTCGAACTGTGGTTCATTCTGGCTCAGGATTGAGACCATGGGACGCAGCGCAAGTCGCAGCCGGGACAACCAAAGCGGCGGTGGTGGTGGCGGTGGCGGTGGCGGCGGAAACAGCAAACGCTGGGCGGCCCAGAGTGTTTGGTGGAAATTGCTACAACCTACTAGCGATGGCCTCCGCAACAGGCAAAAATGTGGTGCCCCAATCTAGGAGTATGTGGGAGGGTTTTGCCACGATTTCTTGACAGGAGGGCTGCAGGTTTGTGGCTGCAGTTGCTGCTCACATTTACTCAATGAACTCCTGTTTCTGTGAGGAAGCCAACCAACCATTGCGCAAGGAAAAAACATTAAAAAGAAACTGTAGACATCACTTTCATCTACTGTATAGCTAGGCTAGCAATGGTTCGCAGAGAAAATTCAATCCAGATTGCTCGAGCCCTTTCAGACGACTCCACAAACACCGCTGAGGTGAGAAAGGTACCATCAACACTTGGAATACAGAGAGGCAATTTGGCTTTGTGACTCAGCCAGAACGGAGCAGCTTTGTCGAAGAAGCAGATGAAGTGTAGACACCTAGTAAATAGACAGCACAGGTCACCATGACCTAGTTCTGAGCACTGAGGGTGGGGGGTCACAAGAGTCGTCATTTCCTGGGAGACATGTCATCCTCACAAGAGCTGTAACAGGTAACAGATCTGTGTGTGAAGCAGATGCTGGCCGCTGGCCCATGCTTCAACTTTTTTCGCTTCACTGAACCAAATGTGTCTTTCTTGAGAACTCCATATCAAAATATGCCTACAGTAGCTCGATCCCTTTTCGTAGATGGAGCCGCTTCGGGGTCTCTGAGATCCTTTGGGATAGCATCCCCGCCTCCTTTTTTTGAGGTTTCCTGTGATAGCGGACGCACCTCGGCAGAGAAGCTCTGGGATGAGGAAGTATTTGTGTTTCGATCTGTCCAATATCAAGAAGTATCAAGCTTGTGATACCATGTTAGCATATGTTAGCAATGAATAGTTGTGATCATAGGATGTTGCGGTTGTTGATGACACGGCCCAAGAAAGTCCGACGTTTCAAGCATTGCCATCCGTTTTCGTAGTCTTCGTCGCCATGATGTCAACCGTTTGGGGACAAGGGCTCTTGGAAATGGCTTTTGCAGCCAATGCTCCGCCCTGCTTAAAAGTCACGTTTGCACCCCAAGGACATTGGCAAACCGTTGTTTTTGGAGGTGTTCGCTCCTTATGTCAGAATTTGTCGTCTTCAAACCATGGATCGACTGATCCGGGCCATCCTGCAGGTACTGGTAGTCTATATCTACAGGCTATCTCTTTGGGCGGCCAAGTGCATCAGCATTTGAGGCCAAGACCTTTTCACCCATGCAGAGTACATTGCTGACACCAACGCCCGCTATGATGCCAAGACGCGGGGCTTGCGTCGCGGCGACAGGACTGACGGTGCATGTACAATCTTCCCAAGATTCGGGCTGCTTTTGATTCTAGATCATAAAGAATCAAGAAACCAGAAACAAACAACGGACGCAACAACCAAGACAAACCACCAACCAACCGCAATCACAACACCAGAACCACAATGCCAGCAGGAACAGGAACAGGATGAGCAAATATAGCAACAAGAAAAGGAATCGTCGTTGTTGATGTTGCCCCAGCACTGCCCAGCACTGTTGCTTCTTGGGCAACAGGTCCTGTGTCCGCAAGTTAGGCTTCTTCACCGCATGTCGACCGAAAGGCGACCGCAGTGGGACCCACTTCTCCACACTCATCTTGCCACACAGGATTGCCTTTGATGTGGAGGAGCCGCAAGGTAACAAGAAGAGTATGCAGGTGTGAAGGGTTTTTCCTGTGCCAAGGGTCCACAGATTTGCGGAAAAAACAAGCCCTTAAAGAAGGTGCGAACATACTTGAGGTGGAAGTGTAGATGGGTCATGCACGTTGTTTGTTGTCATCCTATTTGCAAATGAAG